TGGATGAAGTGCAGTTGGAATGCTCCTTGGAAGTGAGAATAGGTAGACTTTGCCTGACCTACTTTGGTCATGTTGTCAGAAGGGACCATTCCCTGGAGCAAGATATCATGCTTGTAAAGTGGAGGGTCAATGAAAGAGGGAAAAGGACCTCAATGAGATGGATTGACACAGTGGCTGCAATGATGGGCTCAGGTATAGCAGGGACTGTGAGGCTGGCATAGGACCAGGCAGTATTTCGTTCTGTTGTACATAAAGTCACTATGAGTCGGAGCCGACTCTACGGCACCTAACAACAACATCAATTTAGAGAAGCTTACATAAATGTGTAAGTTATAATTTATAATTTGGGGCTATGTATTCTAAAGACTTGACTAACTCCCCCCCCACCCCAATGTTCTCTTTTTTCTGTCACATCAAATACCTTAAGGACAGTTTGGGAAATATTAGTCCAGTGCACTGGCTTTCAAGCCTTTTTCACCACAATCCACAGGGAGAAAAAAAGAATTTACTATTGAGCTCACTGCCATTGAATCAATCCTATCTCCTAGAGACCTTAAAGGACACAGTAGGACTGCCCCCACAGGGTTTTCTAGGCTATAAATCTCCACAGAACCAGACTGCTACACCTTTCTCCGCAGAGCGGCTGGTGAGTTTAAACAGAAGACCTTCTGGTTAACAGCCAAGTGTTTTAAGCACTGTGCCACACCAGGGCGCTTTCATTTACTACGACATGACAATATTCACATGGAAACAAATATAACTGAAACAAAAGTTTCATGACACAGTAACGGCTCTTAATACATATGACGCACTCTGACACATCTTCTATTTCATTTTTTTAAAAAGAAAAAAGCTGTCATGCTGTGATTTCCTGAACCACTGACCAGCAACTCAAAAACCACGATCTTGAGGGAAAATCCTTGAGTTGAGTATTCCAGCTTTGCTACAATTCTCCAAGTCACCACAATCAAGTCAGGTGAACTCTTTGCCTGTCAGTTTCCCCACTTAGTAGTGATAGAGTTGAACAAAAGGTAGGAAGAATACACCTCAAAACAATGTCATTTAACTAGGAGCAAACATTTGCGCTAGTAAGCAAAATGAGTAAGGCCAGCAATTTTTCACTCTGCCACTCACATGAAAAGAATCAGATCAAAGGGCCCAATAATTCATCTAGCATTGATACAGAATAAGATGCCTTGAGAAACTGGGCCCTAAGAAACTGTGCTTGAAGTCGATGCTCACCAGAGATTTTGATCTTATTTAATGGTTGCTAGGAAACCAACTCAACTCATCCTTCCCCAAGGCCAGCAGCAGGAGTATCAGATTTAAAAAATATATATATATATATATATATATATATAAATAAATAAAGTCAGATTAAAGCGTTGAAAGAGCACCAGCATTTTTTTACATAAGTTTATGCTGTGGCTCACCAGGCTATTTTGCATCAAATACTCCTAAGGGAGTACGTCCCTGTGGGGTACTCCCACAGGAAATCTCTGTCGGGTTTCATCTCCTAGGAAATTTTTCTGTTGTATGCCATCGGGTTGGTTCTGACTCACAGTGACCTGACAGGACAGAGTAGAAGTGCCCCATAGGGGCACTTGACAAGGCTGTCAATCTTCACAGAAGCAAAGCTCAAACCAAACTCACTGCTGTAGAGTCGATTCTGACTCACAGCGCCCCTAGAGGACAGAGTGGAACTGCCCCACAGGGTTTCCCAGGCTGTCAATCTTCACAGAAGCAAAGCCCAAACCACACCCACTGCCGTGGAGTCCATTCTGACTCACAGTGCCCCTAGAGGACAGAGTGGAACTGCACCAGAGGGTTTCCAAGGCTATCAGTCTTTATAGGAGCATATATCATCAAGTCACTTTATAGGAGCATATATCATGAAGCCACTGGTGAGTTTGAACCGCTGACTTTCCAGTTAGCGGCCAAGTGCTTAACCATTCACTATGGCATAAAAAACCATTCAGAACTGGTTTAGGACAGGGTGACCAACCAGCAGATGGCTGCAACTTCCAAAACACTCCAAATGATATATAAATATGCAACTTGACAGAAAAAAACTATGATGAAAAATTATATATTACAGTATATCTCATTTCACATTATATACTATTCAGTATAACAGGACTAGAATATAGTCATATTTACCTGCTAGTTTCTAAGTAACTACCACTATTATCAAACTATTAGGGTAATGATAAAAAAATGGACATTTAGATATCAGATTTTTGTTTTAAGTGAAACACCTCAATGACCATATGAGAAGCTGACAAAATTAATAGCCAATAAGCCAGTCAGGTAACAATTCCTCTCCTTCCCTCAGAAAATACATCAAAAGCCCAAGTTTTTAAGACTTAGGAGTCTGAATTTGGTATAAATCATGGTCTGTCTAATATAGCTACACAAATACTTTTATCAAAAATCGTAAAATACAGTCAAGATTGCATGCATTAGATAATTTAAAAAACCAAAGCACCACCAAAACGAACACATATTAACTAGCAATGGAAGCTTTCCCCTGTGACCTGTACTGAACCCGCTAGTTAAATGCAGTCTAAACAGTGACACAGGAGAGCTGAACATTCAGAGCAGCTGGTGTGTTGGGGTGACAGCACGTATTACCACCTTATCTACAATTAGAGAATGATTTACACAGAGGAGACGTTAAGATGTTTACGGATACAGTGAGGACATAAACGAACAGCTCTGGGGATGTTCCAGCTCTAAGCTCTTTTGGAGACCAAAAACAAAACAAAACGGAAACCCATAAAGAGAACGTCAGAACCAACAGGAAGAGGGCTGGCAGACAGGTTTCACCGGGGAGAGGAGGCGAGCGAGGGAGCAGCAGACCTGTCTCAGTCTGTAAACTGGGAAGAGCTGGGTCCTTGCAGGAAGCA